TTGTCAGCCTCTCATATGTCCCTGCCAACCTTGGCAAATAGAGCCTGTTCTTAGGTCCCTGGAATCCGAATGGGAATGCTATCATTTTAAAATCCAAAATAGTTGCCACTTGTAAAGGTTCAAAATGGCTGCATCCTCAATCACTTTAAATATCCAAAATGGCCACCGCTTGTAAACATTCAAAATGGCCACTGCTTGTAAACATTCAGAATGGCAGTGCCCTCAGTCACTTCACATATCCAAAACAGCTGTCACTTATAAACATTCAAAATGGCTGTACCCTTGGTCACTTTAAATATCCAAAATGGCTGCTGCATATAAACAGTCAAGATGGCTGCACCCTCTGGACTGCAGAAAGTCAGCAGCTCAGGTTGTCTCCCTCCTTGCTGTTTCCCTTCCTAATCATAGGCCACCAGTATAGTTGTCCCTGCAGCCCTTGGTGACCAGAGTTGATCGTTAGGTCAATTCTCAGGTCCCAACACTACTTATTTGGAAATGTTTAGGCTGTTGGTCCCGTCAGAGTAGCTGACAGTCCGCAGCTCTGACTGTCTCTGTACTCACTGTTTTTGTTCAGGTTTTTCCACTAGTTGGTGCCTAGTCCACTTCTGTATAGTACCTTTCAAAGCTCAGGGTTCCAGGATTATCTTCTGTATCTCTGTCAATTGGTTTTTCTTTTCTTTGTTGAAGAGGGTCTGTGTCACTTGTCTGCCTATTCCTCCATCTTACCAGAAGTCAATATGTCTGATTTCTTGACTGCTGCTTCCAGGGGCATTGATTGTAGATCCAAGTAAAATGAAACACTTGGCAGCTTCATTTGTGAAGGGTATAGTCTTTGATCTTCATCAATAAATGCTGCTTCTTCACTTTGACCAAGCAAGCTGTCTCCTCTGCATATTACAGGTTGTTAGTGAGTCTTCCTCCAATCTTGATGCCACTTTTTTCTTCATGTAGTCCATCTTCTCAGATTATTTACTCAGCATACAGATTGAATAAGTATGGTGAAAGGATACAGTCTGATGCATATCATTCATGATTTTAAACCATGTGGTATCCCCTTGTTCTGTTTGAATGACTGCCTTTTGGTCTGTGTGCAGGTTTCTCATGAGCACAATTAAGTGTTCTGGAATTTCCATTCTTTACAGTATTATCTATTATTTATTAGGATCCACACAGTTGAATGTGTTAGCATAGTCAGTAAACATATTTCTGGTATTCTTTGCTTCCAGCCATGATCCATTTGAAAATGGTGATATCCCTTGTTCCACATCCTCTTTTTGAATCAGTCTTGAATTTCTGGCAGTTCCCTGTCAGTATACTACTGCAATCATTTTTTAATGATCTTCAGCAAAATTTTGCTTGTGTGTGATAGTAATGATTTTGTTATGTAAATTCTACATTCTGTTGGGTCATATTTCTTTGAATGGGCACAAATGTGGATCTCTTCCAGTTACTTGGCCAGATGGCAATCTTCCAAATTGCTTGGTAAGAGCTTCCAGCATTGCATCCATTTCTTGAAACATCTTAGTGGGTATTCTGTCAGTTCCTAGAGCCTTGTTTTTTGCCATTTCCTTCAGTGCAGCTTGGACTTCTTCCTTCAGTACCATCATTTCCTGATTATACATGACCTCTTGAAATGGTTGAATGTCAGCCAATTCTTTTTGGTACAGTGACTTTGTGTATTCCTTCCATCTGCCTTTAATCCTTCTTACATCATTCAATATTTTGCCCATAGAATCATTCAGTGTTGCAACTCGAGACTTGAATTTTTTTCTTCAGTCTTTCAGCTTGAGAAATGCTGAGTATGTTTTTCCATTTTGATTTTCTACCTTTAGGTCTTTGCACATTTCATTATGATGCTTTACTTTGCCCTCTCAAGCTGTCCTTTGAAATCATCTGTTCAGTTCTCTTACTTCATCATTTCTTCCATTCAGTTCAGCTCGTCTGCATTCAAGAATAAATTTCAGAGTACAAGAAGTAAATTATGATACACACTTTCTTACTAAGCTATGGGAAATAGAATCTCCTGATGACTTTGAACATTCATATTCCTTTTTCAGTGGTTGGGGCTGAATGGGGCTCCCAGCATCAATGAGAAGACAGACACCTGTTTGGCTTGAGGAATTTTGTGCAGTTGCTTTGCTTTCCTAATACTTACCATCATCATGGGGCAAACAATATGATGTTTCAAGTTTAGTTCATAAAGGAGTAACTTTTACAAAGGTTTTACTCAGTTACCATGTATCTTTTGGCAGATATTATACCATTACCATTATAACTCACATTTGATACTAAGTAGCAGAGTCATTTTTAAGAGCAATGACATGAGCTACAAATATCTGTCTCATTTTTATTTTATTAATTCAATAGGTAATTGTAAAGTACTTTCTTTTCCCCAGGTGATACACTGAGTATCATTGGTAAATTAATGTGGTATATATACTTAAGGATCTTAAAATTGATTGAGGTAGTTTATATTCAAAGGTTTTGAAATAATTATAATGTTCCTTAAAAATATGCTACATATGTTATAGGAAAAGAGAATGCAAAAATTTATAAATGTTCTTATTTAACTTCATATTATAATTTATGGATTAGTTTTTGTTTGTGTGTATGTGCATGTGGGCTTAACATAACATAAATCACAGCATTAAATGTGAAGAATGTCACAAACAACTTTAACATTAATCTTTATATGCCACTTGTGTAGAATAAGTAATTATTATTTCTCTTCTGTTCATATCTATGTCACTTTAGTCTGAATCTAAACTTTATAATGGCTCAGAGAAAGACAGTTCAGCTTCAAGCAAGCTCACAAAAAAAGAATCTCTTAAGGTTAGTGTCTACAGTTATTTATAGACAGTAACTGACATGTGCTTTTGAAAGCAGGATAATAGTTAAGAACTTAAAACCTTCCTAAAGGAATTTTAAAAGGTACTCAGAGAGATAGACTGGCACACATAGAAAATGTGAATGTATAGTACACTGGGTGAACTGATAAGGCTGCTTGGTGATGGTCCCAGGGGTACTTTAGGACTCACCTGGCCACCCTGGGGACTAAAGACATATTTCTGCATATCCATACTGGAATCAGGCATATCACTGTGTTGTGGAATACCTGATGGGACGTTCTGGAACTCATTGAAATTAGTTTGCTAACTGCCAAGTCACAGGCTGATTTTAGCCCACAGGAAGATATGTTTTGTTTGGCCTGCATGATGTTTAAAAATTTTGAGCCAACAGTAGATTTCCAGCTTCTCTTAAGAGATATGTAGTATTGAGCTATTTTCCTAAATGGCCGTAGTACCTCATGCTTAAGGAGCACATGTTTTCTAATTGGCTTTGGGCCCTATCTAGCCTGTTCTATCCTTTTGTGTTCCATTCCTGGCCCTGTGTCCAAGTGGATTTGCAATCCCATGTTAAATCTGTTACTAATCCAGATAGGCATATTAATAAATCCAAAAGTGTAAGGATTTTTGGGTGTACAATTAGTAAAATTTTGTTATGTTTACGTAGTATCTTTGCCGGTAAATGGAAATATTCTGGTAGAAGATTTGTATTGAAGTTTAAAAAAAAAAAATGTAGTCACGAATAGATTATTACCACTCTTCCCACACCTACATCAGCCACAACAAAGTAATAAGACTGATTAATCTGCTGCTGCTAAAGTATCTCAGAAGTAAACATATGAAAGTAAAATTCTGGTAACATTTTCAACAAATTAATTCCATTATGTTATTTATATCTTAACATACTGGAAAAGGAGCAAAACTTCAAATTGCAGACAATTGTAGTATTGTTTTTAATATGGAGAAACTGGTAACAAAGTGGATTTCCATCAGTAAGAGATTGCATTAAGAAAAATGCTGTAAGCAGTATAGCATGACGGTTAAGGGTATGGAATTTGGACGAAAATGCCTCTTTTTGAATCCTTCCTCCACTATTTACTAGCTATATGATCGTAGACAGGCTACTCTATGTGCCACAGTTTACTTATCTGTATAATAATAATAATAATAGTTCCTACTCCTATTGGAGGGGGAGCTCTGGTAGCATTGTGCCTGAGACACTTGACTGCTAACCAGAAGGCTGGCAGTTCAAACCCACCAGCCACTCCTTGGAAGGAAGGTTATGCAATCTACTTCCGTAGAGATACCGCCTTGGAAACCCAAGGAGGGGTCGCTGTGAGTCGGAGACCACTCTATAGCATATAACAACAACAACAACAAAGACACTCCTACTGTGAGGATTAAATGGATATTATCTATAAAGTGCTTAGAACAATGGCTGATACATAGTATGCACTAAGTCATATCTTTTATTGTTTTATTCATACTAGAAATCTTCTGCAGTAGCTATAAGAATGAGGAAGACGTGTAGGAGTCTCCAAAGAATAGTGAATGGGCAAACATTTTTCATGTGCTTAAAAAAAAGCTATGTATTTCTATAGGTTATATAATCTATATGTATTTACATATGTATAGAAAAGATCTCAAATAATGATTTCTAGTAGGTTGTTGTTGTTGGGTGCCATCAAGTTGGCTCTCACTCATAGTGAACCTGTGTACAACAGAACTCCAGGGATTGGAACAGAATTGGATGTAATAAAGGCCTTTAGCTGTATTTGTGTTCTTTGAAATTTTTGCCTTGAGATTGTATTCATATAATTCATATAATTAAAAAGAGGTAACATTCTTTTTAAAAAGATACAGAGAATTGGACTGGTGATCAGAAAAACTAAATTCTAAACTTGGGTTTTCTTAAGAATTTCTCTGTCTAAAAGAAAAGAGTTGTTTTATCCTAAGGTACTAGATTTCTAAAGAAATGTAGATTTTGTACTCTGCATTCTGTAGACCTAAAAACTGGGACAGAGAAGCCCATTTCTGTTGAGCTTTTTTTTCCCCCCTATTATTTATGTACAAATAGGTGCAAAAGAAAAATTACAGAGAAGAAAAGAAAAGAGCCACAAAGGAGTTACTCAGTACAATCACAGACCCTTCTGTTATTGTTATGGCTGATTGGTTGAAGGTAAGTTTGTACTGAATCTTAATTCAAATTGTTGAATATTTAAACCTGTTGCCGTACAGTTGATTCCAACTCATAACAACCCTATAGGACAGCATAGAAATATCCTATAGAGTTTCCAAGGCTATAATCCTTACAGAAGCAGACTGCCAAATGTGTCTCTCACAGAGCATCTGGTGGGTTCAAACCATCAACTTTTCGGTTAGCAGCCAAGCACTTAACAACTGTATCACCAGGGCTCCACTGGATGATTACCTACTGGAATAGGAAAGCCCAGAGTGTGTCTAAAGCCCACAAGACAAAAAAAAAAAAAAAGTCCTAAGACGATTATTTTGCACTGACAAAGAAACTATTAATTGTATCCCAGAGGTTCTGTGTCACAATCTTAATGGGGAGGAAGAACCTTAATGTTGTTTCACTTGAGGATAACATCAAGTATGTGTAACAGTTGTTTTTAAAAGTTTGATATATGTAGCATTATATTGTCAATATAATACATTGTTAGAAAATTGCTTTCTATTGAGATTATCTTTTAGTATTATTATAGACTTGGTATATGCATTATTAAGAAGAGGTGAAAAAAAGTTAGTATAAAAGTTATCATTTGAAAAGCATTTTTTGTCAGTTATTTTTACTTTCTCCATGCCCTATTCTTTTGGCCTCTGGTTATTCCCATTTATTTATTATTTTTCTTTTCTCTTGTCCTGATCATTCTATTCTCTTTCCCTTTCTTCTCTGAAGAATAGTTGGTAGGAATCTTCCAGATTTAATGCTGGCTTTTAGTGATCTTACAAAAACTGACTCCCTGGAAGGTTAGCAGCTGATTCTCACCTAAGAATCACCCCAGCCGGAAATGCTTGCCACTTTACCTTCCCTATGAGTTGGTAAGAGCTGCAATCTAAGAACCCATAGGAGATCTGTCATAGACGTTCTCTTACAAGAGTAATTTCCCTGCCCAGTGAAGTAATGCTAGAGTCTTCTTTAATCTTGTGCTAAAAACACCTTGTAACTTACTTTTGGCTGCACATGACACTTGAATTTTTCAGAGACACACCTACTTTTGTCCTTTAACATTAGGTTTCCTCAAACTACCGCTCACCCAGTAATTCTCTAACACATTCCCTAGCTGACTTCCTAACCCTCATCCTCATTCTGGTAGTTGACCCTTCCTGTTTTCTAATACCACATCCCAAGATCCAGAATAGTACCTCAAATAGAGTAACACTCGTCCTGTTCATTTCTCTTGCCTTTCTCATTCAGATACTCACTCACATACTCTTTCTTGAACATTTTTTCTTCATTCGTGGCTCCAAACTCCTCTTTTCTAAATTTTTCTTTAGTGTTACTATTGTATGCCTACTTTTGGGTAAAGAAGTCCTATTTTCATTACATCATGCATTTTAGTGCATTGAGACAACAGATGTTTTACAGAGTAAATAAAAGTGAGGATAATTCTTACATTTTAATCTAGATATTAACAACCTTTTCAGTATTATTAATTGAATGACTAACATAGAAACAATTTTAATGGATTTCAGAAATAGAAATCGAGGTAAAAGTAGTTATAGACTCCTTACTGCTGGTATAGGATTAAATCGTAGAATTAAGAACATATGATTGAGAGAAAAGAGCAAGAGATTCATGTGTTTTAAAATTTCCCTCAAGATATTTATGTGGCACATTCTGATATTCATATAGTTTTACAAATCATTTGGGGGGAAAAAAAGGGGGGGGGGACCAGGATTGCTGGTCTGATAGAATAAAGCAATCTAGAGGAGGTAACTTTAGGGACTTGGAACTCACTACTTGAGTTGGTAAGAGCTATAATCTTGAGAACCCTTAGGAGATCTGTCATGGAATTTCTCTTACTAAGAATAGTTTCCCTGCCCAGTGAAGTAATGCTAGAGTCTTCTTTAATCTTGTGTTTAAAACACCTTGAGTTCCAAGTAGTGTCTTCAGCACTGTTATGCAGTGGTGATGGAGAAAAAATTTAAAACACAGAAAAAGCATATATTCACATAATAAAATTACAGTTGTGATAAATGGTATGAAGAAGACAATATTGGTACTAAGGTAGTATATTTTAGTGGTTCCTAGCCTGGTCAGGGAAGCTAGGAAAACCATTCTAGTTAGTGCATTATTTTGAAACTGTTCAAGTAAGTCTACTAGAATTACATTCCTCAGAAGGCAGGAACTGTGTCATATTCCTTTATTTGCAGTGTTTGCCATTTAGGAGCTATTTCAAAGTAGCTATTGACTCTAAAGTGTACATTTAATGAAAATGTTAAAACACTCATTTTGCCATTTTTTATTTTTATTTCTGTTGAATAGAAAGAGAAAAACAGATCTTTATTTCTTAAACAAAATTACCTTTCTGTAGATTCGTGGTACTCTGAAGAGCTGGACCAAATTGTGGTGTGTTTTGAAACCTGGAGTGCTACTGATCTATAAAACTCAAAAAAATGGTCAGTGGGTAGGAACAGTCCTCCTGAATGCCTGTGAAATCATTGAGCGTCCATCAAAAAAGGATGGCTTTTGTTTCAAACTTTTTCATCCTTTGGAGCAATCTATTTGGGCAGTGAAGGTAAGTTATTATAAGCATGTGTTACAAAGGTAAAAGGTAAGGATGACAGTCTATGAATAGGTCTGAGATATAACAGATCTCAGAATAATTGTAACCTAATGATTGCTGCCCTCTCCCAGAACTTCTCAATTTGTTCCTGTTTCAATAACATTACTCCTCTTTCTTTCTCTCCTCATGATGAAATTTAAACAAAAGGCTTTGTTTACCTTTAAGATTTAATTTAAAAAAAGTTTTCCAGGAAATGTGTCCTTAATTTATATTGTACTGTGTTAACTCTTATTCCTGGGGATTCAGTTTTTACTATGATGTCTTGAATTTGTAATTACTAACTCTGCTTTATAACATTGTATCACATTTACGGTTAATGTTTTCTCTTTATCAATATTGTAAGGTCCCCTAGAGTAGACACTGCCATTTGTTTATGGAGTCTTTCCTGTAGTGATATAAATGTGTGATACAAAGCCTTATAAGTAGAAGTGGTTTTCCTTTTAAGGGAAGCTGTTTTCTTTAAAATGGAGCTCTAGTGTTTTTATGACTAAAAGTCATTATTGTGGTGACTTCTGTATTATAAAAGCAAGAAAGTAGAAATATCTTATTTGAGTAATTACTAAGAAATTGTACAAAAAGTAGGCACATACAGTAAATGCTAACTAAATAAATGAGTCCAGTTTAAGTTTTTACAGTGATTAATTGCTTAATTAATTGTCAGTTACTCTTGAATAAATATTTAGAATTCCTCCTCTGAGGAAAACCACCTGTGATTGTTGGGTGCTGTCAAATCAATTCCAACTCACAGTGACCCTCTAGGACAGAATACAACTGCCCCATAGGGTTTTCTAGGCTATAATCTTTGCAGGAGCAGATTGCCAGTTCTTTTCTCCTGCAGATCTACTTACAAGTTCAGATTGCTTTTGGTTAGCAGCCAAGCTAACCGCTGCCCTCCAGGGCTCCTGTTAACTGAAATTGTTGTTGTTGTTGTTGTTATGTGCCATTGAGTTGGATCCGACTCACAGCCCCTCCTTGGGTTTCCGAGGTAGTATTACTATGGAAGTAGATTGCCCCATCTTCCTTCCGAGGAGTGGCTGGTGGGTTTGAACCGCCAGCCTTC